TTCCTCAGTTGGATCTCCAGCCTTGTCCGATAGGAGACGTAACCTATCGCTTGACGGTTCTTCTTCACAAGGAGGTTGGTTCGGTTCCGTGAGAGATTCACCCTTGGTTTCTTTGAGAAACAACCTTGCTCGCCTTCTTCTTTTGTTTACCTTTTCCTTTTCTACCCTTCTTTTTCGGGTTGGAGAATTCCAACTCGGGGTCTGTAGAATTAGCTGTGACTTGACCGGATAATTCCTCGGGGATAAGAAGTCCTCCCGTTGGTTGTCGCTCCAGTGGTTCCAAAAGGTCGGTCCTTAGTGAATTTTCAACGGCTACTAGGTCCTGGTTTTCCTGTGACGGTTTGATCTCAGACATGAGTGAAGCGTCACACTTGTCATCCTCAATTTCCGAATAAACAGATCGATGTTTGACTTTAGATATATTTTCTCCTGAAGGCAATATTTCTGTGTTTTCGAAAGCATCTATCATATTGTCCTTCGCCATTTTTGAATTCATTGATGACGTCAGTTGGATATCATCTCCTCTAGTCTTCGATGACTTTGAAGGAACGGACTCGTCCGGTAAAATAGAGTCTGCAGGCCGGGGAAGTGGTTTATATGGTACTGCATCGGATATTGGGACACCAGGAACTGATACCGTTGATGCTTCTAACTGCAGTTGATGCTCTTCCTCAGCAGCTAGAGTTCTGGGAACAGAATCTTCTGATACTTCAACGGTGGTTTCACTAAGTGAAGAAGATAGATATTCTACAGCTGAAGAATCCATAGGCTGATTCCTGTTTCCTTGATCTAGATCAGCTAGATCGGTTACTTCATGCAGGCGTTCTCTTGCAATTTCAGATGTTGACGTTGGTTCCACCTCCCTGGTCGGCTGAATACTTACCTTGCGTGTTGCAATCATCACTTCAATATTACCGGTAGCATGATGTGGGCCTTCAGCTACTATATCCCCTTTTCGTCCTCTAGTTTTACTCGACGATGGACTGACAAGATTTGCGGCCACATCAGCACCAAGACCAATAACCACACCTGCGCTCAGTCCTTCAGTTAACTGAGATCCAACTTGGGTATGAGAAGTGGATGGACGACTCTCCGGCAATGGAGGAAAGGAATTATCCATATCAGCATATCCCGTAAGCAATTTATATCCAGTTTCTGAATGAGACGTGGGGGGACGACTCTCTGGCAACGGAGGTAGGGTCTCACCCAACTGAGAAGAAGCCGTCAACGAGCGCCGTAGTGATAGTAAATTTTCCAAATCCAAGTCCCAATCCGTAGCTGCAATAACCGATTCACCTGTAGCAGTTATTTCAGGAGAAGGTAACAGGTTTTGTGTCGGGGAAGCTGGCAATTGTGTTTGACTCCAAAATGGATCGAGAAGAAGTTCCGACGGGGAGTGGAACTCAGGCTTCGGTTTCTCTTTTTTATGGGCTGCTGAACAGAAACTTGCTGCAGTGGGGGTCGCCAGCTGAGCTTCTAGCACATAAGCATCATGTAGAGCATTGTCGTTGTCTAGTTGTAACGAGAGAGGTCTTATTCGGGGTGACCGTTCGGCAAATGACTGTGTTTCATACGGGACACCCGGCGTAAACCCTTGTTCAAGACCATAGCCTTTCAAAACCTCGACAGAGGACGTCCGCGAAGTTGTTTTACTAGAAGGAAGTGCAGGGTATGGCTCATCTGGGCCTCTATCCAGCTTTCGCAAGCCGTGCTGTTCCACCAACCACAAAGGCCTGAACTCCCTGGAAGTTTTGAATTCAGTTGACCTGGGTCGTTTGCTACCGCCGCCAAGTTTTGAAGTCGGAGAGTCCGCCAAGTCAGCTAGTGTGCCGGGGCTAGCTGAAGCTGCAGATTTCTTAACACCGGAAGATGGCTTCGGGCGCCGGAAATGTATAGGCACAGCGGTCGGCGAAGCCACAATATGGGAAGTCGATCGTGGGTCCACTTGTATACTAAGAGCCTTTTTATTTGAAGAAGGCGATGAGGATACAGGGCGACTCCGCGACTGAGAACGCGGGGTAGTGGCAGGTGTGGGATTCCCAGACTCATTCCCTCCTATATGTTTTTGAAGGGTGGAATCGAGCAGCCCCGAAGCACCGTCATGGGTAGATGGCATTTCGGGGCGCGTGCCTAAAAAAGACTGATCTTCCGTGTAATCCTTATTTGCATCACCGTCCTCATGATCATGTCCGTCAGATCTTATAGAGGGAGAGTCCTATAATAAAAAGAAATAACGGGTATCAGCATATATATAAAAGTAATGGTTTCAGAAATAAAACTCCACAATAATATCCAACAGGAAGCAAGAACCAAAGATCATACACAAAAAGGAAAGACAGCAAATTAACATACATTCCTTTGCCCATCTACGCTCCTCCCGGACTCAACAATCTCCTCATATCGATGTCTTCGATCCTTTCGCCTACGTTGGTACGGTGATTCCATCTCCCCTACTTCACCAATCTTATCAATATGCGCAGAATCCAAAACTTCCTTCTCCACACCATCTACATGACTCCCACCAACTCCTATATCGTCATCATCACCCTCAAGCTCATCACATTCACGCCGCCCCTTCGACGATCTCTTCTTTCTCCGCCTCTTACTAGATGAAACACTTGCCTCCTCCAAATCCTCAACCCCAGTCTCAGACAGTTCATCCCTCGCCGATGCCCTCAACTCCTCTTCAGCTAGAGAATCCCGAGACTTAGAAGCCCCAAAGAAACCAAAGAAACTGCCACCACTACTGCTGCTCCTTTTACTACCATCCATTCCCTTCCTCCGTTCTGGCTTCGAGTCATCGACCAGTCTAGCAGGGGGGAGCACAACAGGTGCAGACGCAGGAGCATTTTCATTGAAAGGCTCATTATGTCGCTTCGATCGACGTTTTGATTTCGATGATGACTTTGACAACTTGGATTTGGAATATTTCATAGACTCAGCGTCTTCATCGGCGTCTACGCTAACCGATGCAGCAACTGATTCGGTACCGTTGTCAGCCTCATCTTTATCATTTTTGCCATTTTCTTCGATAGCACGCGCGGGAAAGGTGGAGAAATTATCATCAATACTAGCAGCAGATTTGTCACCCTCATCCAAATCGAACTTTTTACTCTTGCCCTTCGAATTCCGCTTCAATTTCTTATTGCTGGCTTTGGCAGTCTCGAATTCGAGTTCAGGGTCGGGATCTACACCGGTGGGTGGAGATTCTGATTTAACTTCGGGTTCAAAATAATTGTTATTGTACATCAACGCATCCCTAGCGGCTTTCTTTGCCTTTTTCTTCGTCTTTTTAGACACCTTAGGCTCTTCAAAGAAGTTTCCTGGTATTGAGGGTCGCTGGTCTGCGGTATAATCATCTTTATCAGTTCTTAATGGGTTTTTGGTTTCTTGAGAGTCAAACTCCTCTTCCTGGGGCCCAAAAGGGGTAGAAGCAATGGTGGGCTTGCGAGGTTCAATGGTTTGGTCATCCTTCTTTGAAGATCTCTCCTGATCCTCATCAGCCGCAGCAAGAACAGCCTCCCTGTCCTCTTTTTTACTGTTGGCATCGGATTCGAATTGGCGCGGCGATCCCTCCTCGGCATCATAGAACCCATGGTCATCTATCAAAGCATCTGCAGGCCACACAGGTTTATCAACAACAGGACTTTCCGCAAGCCCTTGAACTTTCCCAGTGAGGATTTCTCGCTTCTCAGGTTCCTGTTCTTTCTTGGGCGGTTCAGGTTCTGAGATTGATTCCCATGTTTCTTCTCGGTTCCGACTCTCCCGCTTAACCACTATGCTTATTTCCCGCTTTTCCTTTTCCAACAACATCACCATTTTTTCCACATTTTTTTCAGCCTTATCATCTTCAGCTATTGGAGTCAAACCATGAATACTCGCGTCGTCAGCTGACTTAAGAGACTCACGCACATCAACACCAAAATTCTCTGCTCTTGAATGGTAACTAACCCTAACAGACTCCTGAGCGAATTGCCCATAAGAAGGCCCCAGCTCCTCGTCTTCGACATACCCATACGTCCTCGACGGTATACTGGACACCAGGGGGGCTTCCACGACCTCGAAAAATAGCCTCCGCAACCGGCGAGGTAAAAACACCCTCCCCCTCAGAACCAGGCGGTGAGTCGCGTTGATGATACGTAGGATCCTCAGTGACAACAGCAGAATTGAACCCAGCGAGGGCAGCTCCAGCAGCAAGCGTGGCAGCGAATTCAAAGTCATTTCCGAACGCACCAGGAATATGTTTGTGAAGGGGTATCTCTTCGTCTATGTCGGCATCTTCAACCTCAGCAATGACAGGTTGTGGTGTTCTTGGCTCTTCGAGTAGGTGGGCAACTTTACCCAAAGGTTCTTCTACCTTGTGCGATTCCGTGACCGGCGTCGGCTCAGGCTCAGGCTTCTGCTCAGACTTCGTCTCCGCAACTTCAACTTCACCTTTAACTTCACGGACACGACCGATCTCATCAATATCAATGCCAGAATCACTCTTTCGCGATGGCGATATGTCCCGTTCCACATCCACAGTCACCTTCGGCGGGACAGGCGGTGGGGGTGGGTGTTCCTCTCCAATCACAGACCCTTCAGTACTATGGGGCGGAGTAGGATGTATCAAGTTAAGACGTGGAACGGGCCATGGGAGAACTCCCAGTGGCCTTACCTCCTCCGCCAACATCGCAGCCATTTCTCTCTCGAGTCTAACGCTCCTCGGCTCAATGAGAATGATATTAGGACTTGAAGAGCCCGGTGATCCCGCATCTGAGTGGGAGTGGATAGAAGTCTCATCTCCACCCGAGAGTACCTCTGCGGGAACGAAATAGTCTGCATAGTTATCATGAACAGGTGACGCCGCAACGCGACCAGCAGCTTTTCTCGCAAGGCGAATTTTCGTTGCGGGGATATCTTTAATGTCAAATTCCAATTCAGTCTCAGTAACTCTATCCTTCCCTGTCGGTCCAGCAGATGAATCATGGTCTCGCTTTTCTTCTTCCCGTTCCTCAGCTCCAGGCTCTCTCTCGTCGACATATCCTCGTCTCTCCTTTCTCCTCTGCTGGCGCCGTTCCTCTCGTCGTTTCCTTTCTTCCAATTCACTGATCAAGGACGCAATCGAAGCTGCGCCTGCAGCAGTTGCAACGGGAGTGATCCAGGAAGACCCAGTAGACACATCCCTACGCCCACCACCAGTATCTATGTCAAAAGTCTTCCTATCCAGAGGCTCATACTGGCGCTCAGTTTCACACTCCCAGTCAGCACCTCGGCCATCCTTCTCCTTCTTCCTCTCCCTCCTTTCCTCCTCCACATGTGAACGAAACTCCCTTTCCGTTCGCCTCGTCTCCCGCTCCTCCTCATCACGCAACTGCCGACGCTCTTTGTCCTCCTGCTCCTTCGTAAGATCGAACTGGACTTGCGAGGTAGTGTAGCGCCTGTTCTGCTTTGGTCTAGGACTTTCATCACGAGTGTGGGAAATCACAGGAGATGAGTCTCTTCTCCGCAGCTCACTCTCCCTCGCATTGGGAGAAGAATTAGAACGTTGGTTACTGTCACGATAGTACCTACTCCTCTCTGCTTTATCCACTAATGGAGCGATCCCGCATCCAACCCCAGATTGCAACTCAGTGACACAGCAATTATCAGACTCGCCTGAGGATCTTGGGAGAAATGGTGGACCACTTGGAGCATCGTAGGATTGCGCTAGTTCTGCTTGTGTTGTATATAGAGCCTGAGAGACAGGTACTACTGGCTGGGGATGTTGAATGTGCGCGGGTCCGGATGCTTGGCCAATTAGCAGAGAGGCTTGCGGTTGGACGTAGGGTTGAGAAGAAGAATAAGAACTTTTGTTCGTGACATCATACTGGGATGGATCCTGCGTTGGTATTGGATAGACATTCTGCATAGACAGGAGGCTGCCCACAGTGCTGAGTGGTTGTGGTGGGAATGAATATCCGGCTACAGGAGGCGGCTGAGCATGCTGTCGCGTGTCAGGGTACCTATGGTCTTGATACTTCGTAGTCTTTAGGCTCTTTTTCTTATTACCCCACCTCCAGCCCCATTTAGAAGTGCCTGAGTCCGAGGAGGAGAAAGATGTCGACGGGCCACCGTAAGCCAGTGCGGAATCTACGCTTGATGGGGAAGAATCATCAGATGCAGACACCCAGCCATCCTCCTCGGCCGGACCCGAGACGACAGGAGGCCGGGAATCATGTCTGTAGATCGAATATGGGCTTCGAGAACTGTGGCTGGAAGAACCATCTTGCCTACCCTTGCCGTAGTTGATATAGGAAGCAGAAGCTGCCAAGCGAACAGCGGTAGCTCCTAGTCCTAGTAGAGCTGCATCATCAACTTTATGATCTTCATTGCGTTCCGGTCGGGATTTCTCTTTCTCCGAATGTGGAGCTCCGATAAACCCAGTCCCAAAAGCCAGGTCAGCATCATCGGATGAGGACGTAAATGAAGACGCAGACGAACCCGCGGAAAAAGAAGAAGAAAGGCTAAAAATTCCTTTTCTCGCCTTTTCCTTCTTCTTCACCTCCTCATTAACTATAGGTACCTTTGGAGCTTTTGGCCGCTTTTCAGATGGCGCGGTAAAGAAGGATGTCAACCCCGAGAGGCCTGGCTTTCCATAGCTGCGAGAAATATCAATGGTGGATCCGTTCGACGACGAATATTGACCGCGGCTCAAATTTTTTGGAGATCTGCCACGGCTTCTACGCGACCCGGATGTTAATACAGATGCGGCTCCAAGAGCCCCAGCAGCCACGGTTGCTGCTTTCAAGCCGGAAGAGCTCCTCTCTCGAGATTTTGATTGGGAGCGGGAGCGGGAACGCGACCGTGATCGACGTCGACGATGATAACTATCGTCTCCATTCGAATATTTTCCACCCGAACCACTATAACGGCTTCTATCATCTCTACCGTATCCATGACTAACAATTCCCATCGGGGAACTAGTTCGATTTAAGTGTTTCGTAGTTCCCCTAGACGTACGGCTCTTCTTCCCCAAAGACGTGGTACTGGTGCTCATAGCATCCCTAGCAGGCTGTCCGGAACGAGCACTGTATGAACCATCAAATCCATCTTTTCCTTCAAGGAGAGATTTTGCAACGTAACCAGCAAGACCAGCGGCAAGCCAAGATTTTTTGTTAGATTTCTTGCGACGGCTCTCGTCTCCAGATGAAGATGGGTATCGACTCAGCTTGTCCACCCTAACCCGACTATCCAGGTGCTCATCGGAAGATCGACGACGTCTGGGTACATGCTTCCGAGGTGCATCCCTTGGAGAAGTACCTGGTTCAAAACAGAACTTGCAAACACCGATATATTCTGAATATTCTTCGAACTGGGCTACAGCCTCTGGATCCTTCCAAAAATTGACAAACCGTCTGAATGGTCCGTGATGGCGTTGATGGTAAGCCAGCGAGCCTGGTTGACCTGGCGGTCCTAGTTGGACAGATTGGCCTTGGTGATGGTGTGCGACACCAGAGAAAGTGTTGGGCCGCGGGAAAGTTGGTGTGTGGCTTGTCGCAGCGGCGTATCCTGCAACAGCCCCTGGCATGGCAGCACCCACTGCAGGCATAGAATTGTGCTTGTTTGGTTTTGGGGGGCGTGAACCATTTGTTGGAGGATAATATGGCTGCTGGGGCTGATGCTGGGGCTGATGCGGAGGCGGTGGGTGATAATTGGGACATGACGATGAAGTCATTGCAGTGTGTTCATTGGAGCCTCCTAGCATCGACCCAATACCATAAGTTGCTACTCCTGCCACTGCTGCCGCAGCAGGAATTGAGGGTTTTGAAGGCTTGGAGGGTTTGGGCGACAGCTCTTGTGAATAGTGGACTGATTCTCCGTAACCGTCATTATGTTGTTGATGAATTGTTGGTGAAGCACCACCGTAATAGTCTGCTGCTTGGCCCGCTTGTCCCATCGAAGATGGTTCAGTTGGGGGATTTGGCGTTGATGAAGCAGCCATCAAATGCGGCTCCGCTCCCACGATAAGTGAAGGGGGGTTGGGCCTAACACCAGGCTGTGATGCTACTGATTGCCCTTGATCTCCATAATACTCCGCCGCTTGGCCTGGAGACGGAGAAGGACAAAGAGAAATTTGTTGATGGGGAAATTGAGAAGGGTGTGAAACAGGTATTTGGTGAGAATCTAGTGAGGGCCCAGGTTCTGGCATTGCGCCCAGGGAAGTATTGTCGTATTGTATAGGAAACTGCGAGAATCCAGGCTGAGAGATTTCCCCCATAATTCCTTGATCTCCGGATGACATTGGCCCAGCCCGACTGCGAGAGTATTCAGAGGGATTGTTAATAATCACCTGAGACTTAGCTCGACGGCGTGGTTTCTCTTCTCTTTCCCTCTCCTTCTCCAGCTGATACCTCTTCTCATCTCGATCGCCACTCCTTGAGCGCTCATACCGAATCCTACGGCCATCCAGACCCCTCTCGTCATCGCGGGAATCAATTTCATCATTCCTATTTGCGGGCCTCTCCTCCCTGCGCGAACCCGGTATTGACCGATCATAATCCTCCTCGAAACTCGCTTTTGAGTCTGCCGTCGCATAGCTAGAAACAGTCGACCTACCCACATCATCGCGGTCATGTCTACTAGAGGAGTAATTTGAGGAAGCAGGGACGTAGTCATCATCTGCTATTCCACGACCGTCACCTCGGGAAGAAGTAGAGGGAGTAGACTTGCGCCCCGTGCCTGAAGTTGAGGAGCGGTGGCCATGCTCATCTTTGCGACGGCGGGACTTGGACGAGCTGGAGGAAGCAGGGCGTTCGTTTGCCTTTTTGAGCAGGTTGAACAGCATTATGAGAGGGTAGTAACAGATATCATATCAACATGAGCGTTATAGTAGAAGGGGTTACAGGCGATGAACGTTGACTGAATGCCCTTTAGGTATGGTAGTGAATAGAGATCGTAGAATTCGTTGCTTGTTTTGTTTACTTTGCTGAAGAATCTAGGGCGGTTAACTAGGTTTGTTGGTTGTTGGTTGGCTGTTTGACAGTTGACGATTCGGCTGGTAAACCTAAGATCGATCTGGGAGGGAGAGCTAACCACGGTAGAAGAAAACAAAAATGACCGGGTTGAGAGATTCATCAAACCGGATTTCCTGTATTATTACCAATAACTGTAGGTAGAATAGATATACCAACGCACGATGAAGGATGTTGGTAAAATGAAGTTTTCAAATCGACAGTTTTGAGCCCCAAGACGCTGTTCTTGGCTGGCGGCTCTTTTCTCAGCTGACACACCGCCGACAGCCTTGCTCCGGGAGAGGCAGTATTATTTTACGTATGGCTGCATATTTGCTGCATATTAATTCATCCATGAATAGTTGTACCTTGCTGTAGGTATGGGTGGAGATAAGATAACATCTGGAATTAAAAAAAAAAAAAATAGGAATATATAAACATCGTTGGATACCCTCTTTGGTTGGTCCCTTAGTTATCCTCCACGTTTCTATGAAGAGTGTATTATTTCTAACATGCGCCCTAATGTATAATTTCCATTACATCCTCTCGACCCAACATTATGGACAACAAAAAATGAGGAAAAGAAACAAGGCCTATGAATATTTCTACAAATTGACCGTCAGAACATCCATTCCCTAGAACTAACATACAAAAGAAGAAAATGAAGAGCCTAAAAAAAATTGAATTGAATTGAATTAAAACAGCGCCATAGACTGCATTGCTCACAATCATCCACAATCGCATTCCTTATCTCATACTTGGAGGCCTCATCAATTTTCTGACATTATCTCTCAACCGATTCTGAAAACCAATACGGGAAAACTCGCAAATTTCTCGCAAAAAAACCCGTCGACCCGGGTACCATGACATGCCCCCCCGTCAACGCCTGGTGCAACGAACATCTCCGCCACTGTCTTCGTCTCCAACAGTGGATTGAAAAACGTATTATCCACATTCAAATCCCTGGACAGATACGTCCTCACAAATCCCTGCGTAACAAGCACCGTCCGCACCTTTGGCGCCTGATACCTCGTCACCAACTCCGTCGTTCAATCCTTTATGAAACGTCACTGCAGCACTCTTCGTCGCTGAATAATCAACCACGTTTTCCCTGACAATACACCCCGCTTGTGACGCCACAGTGACAACCATCCCGTGATTCTGCTCAATCATCTTAGGCAAGAACTCCCGGGTAGTATTTGAACGGCTGGATGTCCAGCACAGACGGCAACCCGCTGCCACATGCCGTCGCTACCGCCGTCATGACGGCGATTTCTTGGTTCCGGTTGAACGTGTCGGATGTGCCGTGGTTGAGGGTATAGAGGTTGATCAAGCCATTGAGGGAGAGGATGAACCCGATGGCAACAAGATATTTGAGGATTTTGAACGCTAGTGGGTGGTGGGAAGAGAGCTCTTGGCCCCTAGTGGTGTACTGGGAGAGAATGTAGAGGGGGGGAGTGAGAGCTCTGCTAGACCCTCTTTTTTTCTTTTTTGAAGAGTCCTCCTACTACATCAGCGGTAAATATTATTTATTTTGGAAGTGTGGTTGTCAGTGGTAAATTGAACTATCTCAGGATATCTGGTGGATTATTGATACCTTCACGAGATTGCCAACGGCGAGATGACATTTTAAAGCAATTGATAACTTGAAAATTTGTCCAGAGTGGTAAAGGCACCACAACTGCTTTACCACAGATATAATGGAGATGGACACGAGACTAGGCAGGAAAGCGAACAGAATGTGGCCTAATTTCCAAGGGCGCTTCACCGCTTTCATTCTTCTCTAGCACAGCAATCATGTCTGAGGAACGGTTGCTGAGAAGTTCCAGGCATGTGCATCTTAATTCCGATGAAGAACAATGTGCTAGAGGCTTGTTGAGCTAACAGGAGCTTCGTGTGAAGAGGGAGAACTCTTTGGCAAGCCTCATATTAGGGGCGGTTTATGCTCATAATTCCGTAATCCCCCCAACCACCTCCATGACCTAAATGCAGGCCAGTAACAGTGCAGGCCAGTGGAGAACCGTCAATATCAAACGGCAACCACTAAATGAGTCCAGAAAGAATCTCGTCGTAATACTCAAAACTACACAATTGTGCGATTGGATGTGGAGCGCACTCATACAATGAAGTGAAGTCCCAAGCTCCCAGTTGCCTCGGTTAACTAACACATTCCATCCAAAACTCTCTAAACCAATACGTCTTAAAAACCCACCTAGTAAATAAATCACCATTGAGATAAAATGAAACCAGAAGAAAGGTATGAAACATGGGTATACCGTCAAAAGGAAGAAAGAGAAAACAAAGTTATCAAAAAGTACCATATACATCGCTTTCCTCCAAAATATTCTTTTTGAACATTCGGAAGCGGTTCGAAAATCAAAAAGAAAAATTGCTAATATAACATGAACACCACCCATACCAAAACCCCCCGATAAGAAACTACAATCACAAACTTGCCGCCCAAGCCAAAGTAAACTGATGGCACAAAAAACGGGGAAAAGAAGGATATAAACTAGATACTAATTATATATGAAAAAAGAAAAGTATGTATAATAAATATGAAAAGAGAAAAAGACAAATACAACTAAGATGAGGAGGGAGAGGGAGTGTTATTGTCAGCGGCACCATACAATTACGACCCGTTATACCCCCCCAGAGGATGTACTCTCAAATATCTTTAGACGAATCAACGTCAAGATATCAGCATCCCTTTTCAGACTGGGTGAGATATGCCGGCTTTGTGATAGGAATTTGATCGTGCGATCCAGAAGCCTTTTCAGAGTATCTCGATCTACGAGTTGCGATAGCGGCGACATGTACGTTGCTGATAAAACTAGCATGTTTCCAAATTGCCTGTTTCGTTATAACGTGGTCAGAATAAAGAAGAATAAATCATATTCAAAGAGGCCACTTAAAAAACAAACTTACGCATGCGCTGTTCCAAATATATTAGTGACAACCGGCCTCCCTTTAACCCCATCAAAAGCAACGGTGCTCTGAATCGCTGCATCAATACACGCCTGACACGCCTTGCGGATTTTTGGATCAAGCGAGTTAATCGACACCTGGGGAGGCATGTGCTGCACCCGCTGTGGCTGATTAGGTGCCAGGGTCACCGGTCTATTGGGTGGACCCATATCGTTCGCATACATTTCCGCCGGATTATTTGTCGAAAGTTGCCCCGGGTTGACCATGATCGATGGCGGCGAGATTCGCGCATGAGAAGTAGACATATTTGAGGAATTTTGGAATGCCACGGCTGTGTTAACTACTGCATCTGAAGAGAAGTTGGATGGGTGCAAGGCGTGGTGGAGTAACGGGCGATGAATGATGTAGCGGGCTCCATAGTATTTGGCGCGCATGCGGGCGATGATGATGTTGTCGGAGGGTGAGTCGGATTCTTCCCATCTCATGTTGTCTGGGAGTCCTGTTCTCCATGATTCAAGATTGTAGCTTAACGCTTCTTGGATTTTTGTTGACCAAGAGGCTTTTCGGCCTGGGGAGTCAAGTTCTGCAAGAGCTCGTTAGATTCGGATAATGCGGAAAATTTTTAAGAGGATTTAGGAATTTGTCAGGCAAGACAAAAATAGGTACATACTATCAGTCTTGTACAGCTCAGTATGAACCCGATTCAAGACCTTTCTCAAGTGAATCTGCGCAACGTAATAAATCATGATAAATGGGTCTGGCATCTGTCGTTCACTCGTGCTTAGAAAAAGGCCATCTTGGGAATAGAGCTGATCTTCAAACCGACTTATACCGCTTGCAGGAAGATCTAGTTCGGCGAGAATATCACTACATATAGAGACATAAGTTCAACTAATTAATAAAAGAAAAGAACTCAAAAGAACTACGAGATGGTTTACCTTTCAAGCTGTAGGCAAGTCCAGAAGGCAAAGTTGATAAGATCTTTCTGGCGGGTTCCTTTTGGGATGCGGTCAAATGTCCGGCTAATTCGAAAGAAGTCAGCAACTGAATCAATGCACAACATAGTTGTGCGGAAGTAGAGGCGAACTTGCTTACGGTCTCAGGAGAATCTGACAAGCCCTTGAAGCTTCGCATATCCAGGCATGACTAGAAAATGGACGCGCGAGTTGGCCCGTGTATAAGGCCGCAAGAAGGCACGCTTGTGTATGTTTCAGACCACCACCACCCACTACATTGCCCAAAATATCCGAAGCTAAAGCAAAGTACGCTAGGCCAGGGATGACATCCATATTTCTCAGAATGGGACCATCCTGGTCCGTTAAGTTCTGACCATCGATCCCATGGCCAGTTCCAGATACTCTCTGGTTATGTCCTGCTGAAGTTGGATATAGCTCATCCTTTGATGGATGGAATCCCATTGCCGTACCAGAGTCTGCTAGGATTGGCGAGGGTGGAATGACAGCTTGATAAAATGAACTAGGATGCGTTTGTCCTACAACCACTGGTCCGGGAACATCTGTTTTCACAGAGCATATCGATCCCAGTGCAATTACTAGAAGCACAATTGCGTTGTCCAATGACTTATGAATGACGGGGCTCAAAGCGGCGGTCGTTTCCACATCTGCATCAGCGTTTACTTCAAATGTCCTTTCGGCAGGCCTCTTTCTTTTCCCTCTCGTAAACGCAGTCGATTGCTTGAGAGGAGTTTGTGGTAGTTGAGGAACGAAGGATGAGAAGGAAGGCTTGTGCGGACTGTACTGTTGTATGAAATTGAAAATAATGTAATTCAATGCCGTGGCGTCAAGGAACGGATGGAGAGCGTGCATATTCTCCAGGTAGCTATGATAATACGTCCGAATGACGTCTCTATCAAGATCCAGCTTACCAATTGGTGTTAACCCACCGGGGTGAGGCTGCATGGAGTATCTCGCGTGTTCAGACCCAGAGGGAAATCCAAAACCAGAACCCCATATGTCTCCTGAACATGTGGTTGCAATAGAACTATCATATTCTAAGGAGTTTGGTGATGTACCTGGTACGTCCGCAAGTATGTCACCTTCACCTTGGCCATATAACCTGAGGGGACCCCTGTTTTCTTCCAGGTGCATCACATAATCTTCATCTATCCTCTCCGGGAATAGCTTCTGAATAGATGGCCATAAAAGTAGCTTGTGAGCCGCAGTCGTGTGTTCTATTGGTATGGACAATTCCCGAGTATCAGTATCAGGATTTTCAATTTTCGGAGTGTCTTGGAGTCGAATTTCATCCCGGTGTATGACGTGGAGGGGGCGATGCATGGAAGCATCGAATGAATGCTCATTGGGGCAAAGGACCCCTGGTGGTGGTCTAGGATTTGCTGCCATCAAGTTCGCACTTTCTTCTATCTTGCTGAGGCTAGACGTCAAATCTGTCAGTCCCCTCGGAGGAACAGCACCAGTCATGGTATCCATTTGTGACTTGACCTCGAACAGAAGAGTGGTCATTTCATTCAACTTTGTCATTAGTTCTTCTCTCGTGTCTTTTCCCTGTCGGTCTATTCGTTCAAGGATGGTTTGTGTCGATCTTTCTTGCCTTTTGTAACCAAGCTCAGCTCAGGTTTATTTCAAAAATCAGGATAATTTAAGGTATTCAAAACTTACTTCTGAGGGGGTACATCCTTATAAACACACGGAACATTATTTTCTTTGCAGTGGCTGCAGGACGGACGACCTTCATCGCATTTTGCTTTTCGGGAGCGGCATTGGTCGCAAGCCTGGACATAGTTAGACGACAGAAGGTGTACAAACTGTAGTTAGTAAGAATTTACCTGCTGAGCTCGCGTTGTCCGCCGTTGGCGGTTAGATAGAGGCATTGCACCTTGGCTAAGGAAGTAGTTATTTGTATCATACACCCCAGGAGGAGGAGGTATAGCTGCGCCGTGGGTATAAGGTTGTGAGGCCGGTATTGATTGCATTGGATCCGAGTGAGAAAACATTGCTAATGCAGGGGTCTCACCTTTTGGATGACGGCCATGTGAGGGAAATCGCATACGCGGTTGGAAATTAGCATGTCCAGGTTGCTTCGGTAGTGGTTGAGGTTGCTGTTGTTGTGGGATGGGCGGTGGTTGTTCGTGTGAGCCATTCATGGACTGGTAGCTGGGAGGTGGCGGCGGATGGGTTTCTGGATGACTCGAAGATGACGCAGGTATACCACCAGGTCGTCCATAGGGCATTTCGGGAGGACTGTGAGGGTTCCCCCGTGTGGAGGCATTATACATCGGTGGTCCACGTGGAAGAGCGCCATGAGGGTCGGGGTTGGAAGCTTCATAGGTATTATTGGAACAGCGCCATCCATTTTCATAATAGCCTCGAGGAGGAGGCAAGCGTTGGCCAGAAGGAGAAACCTGAGATCTGGACTTGTCTTCTATTGCTATCTCCATTGCAGTTTATCCGCCAAATTCTAGGCCATCCACAACCTGATGTAGATCAACTTTGAGGGCAAGGAACCAGCATCAAAAACGCAAATTGCAGCAAGGTGATAGCATGTTGAATCACAGAGCCCGTTCATAAAATGAAAAAATAAATATAAAAATAATAAAAATAATTATTCAGCGGAAGGGGCCTTGAGAATCAAATTGACGCTGTCAGAGGCCTTAAGATGCTAAGAACGGTAAAAGTACATATACCGTACAGGCATACGCCGATATATGTTAATCTACTACTAGATAGATACAAGATAATCAGTCTCTACGCATATACACAACGAATGCAAACGGGAGGGGTAAAGTGGTCGGGGGGATAAAGGAGATGTTGTCTCTTTTACCTATGACAGTCTGTCTGACAGCAAAATAATGAAGAGCGGGCGCGGGTGCCGGACGAAAGATTTATAATAAGCACTTCGGTTCCTTGGTCAGGGCTCGGGAAGTCAACCAAAGAAACGCCGCAAGCGAAGCTTCCCGCTTCTTCCCACGGAACGGTGTAGCCGACAAACGGATGGGGCAGAAGGATAAACAACCCGACATGCAGAGACAGACGCCAGGTGGAAGATATTGGATATTTGTCGCAGAGCAGGAAAGAGAACAAATGGAGGTTAGCTGTGGGTACCCGACGAAATGGTGGGAATTGGTAGGGCGACAAGTCGAGGCAGGACAAGATGACCAGTGAATACGCAGTGAAAACAAGGCGAATGAGCCAGCTGATGTTCCTGAGCCTGTGAGCCTGATTATCACATAAAGTATTCAAGAACAGCAATGGCAGATACAGATGAGTTCTGTAGACAAGGTATTTACAACAGTCAAAGGGGGAGACTGGATGGGGAAGACGATTAAAGCTTAAAGAGTAATAGCGGCGGAAGAGGTTGGAGTCGGAGTGACAGGAAAGTGACAAGTGACAAACACAGCCCTTGTATTGTGCGGAACACTGTATCCATACATATATCTAATCGGTACCGGGGTATTTACAGTACATACATTTATACATACATACGTGTATGGTAGAATGAATAAATATATACGGAGTAGGGCACCAGCAATTTGCTGTTTACAACGAAGGTAATTATGGTATTATTCTCCTGGGCGTTCGACTGCCCCTTCCCCCCCCCCCCCCCCCCCCCCAAAAATACGTAATTACCAGCCTGTCGGGCTCAACTTTGACCGCTTGATACTGCCCAGGCTCTGGCTGGCCGTCCGACCCTGCAGGTGACTTTCCCCACTCCCCAGACTCGAGTGAAAAAGCCCAGCGTCCCGTGATTCATCGACGTTTCCCCAGGGGTAAAAAGAAGTTTAGCAAGGAACAAGAAACGGAATAATGGAAATTCCAAGAGCCAATGTGGTCCAATTTGGGACCCACGGACGATTCCCAGCACCCCCCGCCCTTCTCCACTTTTAAGGTATCTGCTACCTCTCGAGACTTTAGATTCAGTGTCTAGCAAAGCCTTATATGGTAGTGACTTCCACTAGGGAGCTGTGGTGGGGTTTGATGGCGTTGTGTTAATCTGCCTGAGGCTGCTGCTCGGAATAATACGATACTGAATATATACTTTCCATTCCATTCCCGTAGTTACAGTACAGTACACGCCAGAAGGTATTGCCTTTCAACCTTGGAATATTATGTAGTTAGTTAATGTTGTGTATCAAGAAGATGATTTTACTGACTACAATTTCAAAGAATAATTCTTATTTAGTCCTGATTTAATGCTTATTGAATAGGAATTTTTCTTCACATTCAAATTCACTAATATGAATTTATATGTAAGATTATGAATGAATAACTAACAACCCTTCAATCAGTGAATAAGAGTAGAGTATGAAATACCATAAGTCTCACTACTTCACAGATGGAGATGATTTCTTGATTATTTATGGTAATAGTTGTAATTCCAATTGTTACCTCTATTTTAGACAGTTTCTTATTTTATTTTTATTGCACATCGGTGGCATTCTGACAAGTCAAAGTAGGTAGTTACAGATAAATTAATTGGTTGCATGTTTCAATTTGATGATCTGCTCGGTTGGGAATTTCGTTAGTTATCTGATAGATAACATTTTCTTTTCCTATCTATTCATATACGGATCAACTTCTTATATATCAGCTCCTCTCTTCTTGCTGCAGCCTTTCAACTCAGAAAAGGCTCCTTCATTCATCGAGTGCATATCGACTGTCCGTATCACTAGTACAGCACCATTTCTCTGGACGATAACATGCCTCTAAATAATGAGAGGCTAGTAATATAATGACCCCCAGGATCCAAACACCAGCTGAACTGATTGTCACAACGCCTTGTTTTACTTCCAAAAACGTCGCTCAGGAGGCAGCACAAAACAGTCTCCCAAAATGATTGGCTTGGGAAATTGTGCTCTGTAGAAACTTGGAAACTACCGTTTCGGATACCTTTTTTTTTTTAGTTTACAGAAACTCTGCTTCCCGTTTCTGGAATTTTAATCATTCCGCCATCAGCGCTCACAAACTCGTTTAATTTATCACCATGCGCCTCTTCAAGAGACGGTTTTTTCGCTAAGCTTGCCATGTGGGGCTCCCACGAGTTATCTGCTACTCCAGTGTCCCACTGACCCCAAGCAGCGAGTGGCGAGCGGACGAACGAAGGGAGATAGTGGAAGTAAATCAAGAGCGCGCTAAATGGCCATAATTGCGACATCTGTAAACCATGGCGGGGAACTTGGACACTTAATGACCAGTGATATCGATGGGATAATCAGAAATCCTAGACCACTGCTGTTAGCATTGGCGAATCATTTAGCAGAATGGGTATTTTGGGAGCGATTGTTTTGGTTTTGACTTGATAGCAGCCAGTTAGAGTCTTAGAGACTGTCGATGATGCAGTAGAGGTGGGAATATTCGGAGGGCATCTGGACTTTGTTCTTCGAAGTCTGCCAACAACCATCCCTTGCAAGCGAAGAGGCCAATACCAGCTCTATGAGAGTTGATCTGGCTGTCGAATAGCTCGGAGCGAGTCTGCCGTTCCATCGTGATCACCGTCCCATCATGAGCTAGCAGAATGGCCAAGGGAACATCGCCGAAGCCAGAAATCCACATCGCAGTCTACAGCCTCCCGAAAGCCTGAGGATGAGTTTTGAGATCGACAGTGAAGTGTTAGACACTGGTTAAGCGAGTTAACGTTCTTGGGCCAACGTGGTAAGCTTGGAAACGGTTTTGAGCTCTCCACAGTGTCCTCCGTCTCCACCACTCCTTTTTTGGGGGGGGAATCGTTACGGGAGCCGAATAAAATAAAGCAGCACACTCTGTGGAAATTCTTGGTTCCAATCCAAGGTCCACTAAACAATCAATCCTCCCGAATCTTTCCAGAGAAGAGTGTGTCATCCCACCTTTCCCTTGCAAGCTCTTGGGAAAACTCAGGCCGATTAAAAGCTCTTCAGTCACGCTTGAACACCAACTACAGGCCACTTGATTGGATGGCCAGCCGGCAAACCTACTTTCTCCCTTCGCTAAACAGCTTCCAGCCCAAGTGCGTACAGGGATAACCCATGCTTCGATTAGATTCCTTTGCATAGTGTTAACTATTTGTCATAAAACCCACCCGCCGGAGCCGATACCCATTCCAGATATATCTCAGTGTCGATGCATCGAACATGATTGAATATGATAGTCTTGCGAATCCAATCAACAAACTTTCATACCCTAGTTTCTTCAGATTCATCCCTTGCATGTTTCTCCTGCCCTTTAAAAAATAAAAAATAAAAAAGAAAGAGACAAAAAAAGGGTGGGACCAATTCCTCCCGTAAGCTCTGGGGGAAATGATCCAGAGGTGGGAAACGACCACCGCAGTAAACTGATGACGTTCGGATTTCTGACACTCCAACCATCCGGGTTCCAAGGTTACTATGGTATGGCTTCTGCATACGAAGAGAAGGGAGGAATAACGGTCCGTGAAAATCCGATAGTTCTCACGGATTTTAAGCGCTGTATGAGATTGGGCGAACCGCGGGCTTTCAAATCCAGTAAAAACAAACAATAGGCATTCCAGGATTACATTTAAATCATGAAACTGGCCGGATTTCCCGCATCCAGGTTGTCGGGTTTGCCCTTGGGTAAATATTTCTTAGATTCTTGATCATGGCATCAATATATCTGTCGGATCTCATAAAATTTTGATAGGAGCGGGTGCATTCGAAGAAGACCCATGATGCTCATGAGAGGTCGGTGACAGCTTTTGCCTGCTCTTGCTTTCTTCCTTGCTTTTTCAAGCTGCGAACCACGAAGGAATCATGAAGGTGGTTCCTCTGCGAACGTTAGATTGCCTCATAGAAATTGGTCGAGGCTGAGGTTGCCTTGTCAGTGTGCAATGAGTGGTCTGCTCATCGTCCACACAGAATTCTATCATTTCTTACCTCAAAAGAAAGGAGCATACATCATACATACATACATACATAATACATACATACATACATACATACATACATACATACATGTATGTGTGTACCTGTACGGTATTCACCATTTGGGAGTATTCACCTCCAAAAAGTACCTTGCAGAGCGCAGGGCATCGTTTTGTAGTACGCACTACTCAGTTGCGACATTACGCTACATTACGCTTGTATGAACAACACCGCACCATTCAAATACAGCTACGGCACACCAGTACGTACCCCCACATGCTCTGTCAGTACAGGACAGCTGCAGTGGGGCCTGAATCCTGAGCTGCCGCTTCTAGGGCGCCTTGGAATAATGAGGATATGTGGATATCCACACTGCGTACCCTTTTACCTCCTCTCCTCTCGATTCCATTTGCTGATACTACTCCCTATTTGCATCAAATATAAACTTCTCGTATTCCTGACTGGCTTTCTCAGTTGCCAGTATAAAAAGACCAATGTTCTTCCCTCCATAAGCCATGACGCTTGCGTCTTATATATACTAGCTATCCTGGTGGACATCACTCACGAGGACAGCGGGCAATAATAACAATAATATCTTTCCACCCTACCATTCGTCCCCAAGGGTGATAGGGGCAAGGCTTGTCGAACGGGGATCAAAAATACGGGCTAATTCGCTTTGAGAAGGACAACGACGTGATCTTGAGCAATAATAAGAACAAATGATCACTCCACCGATAATATCGACGCTGATGCCCACGCCAGGATATCATTCCTGGTCGACCTGAGCATTTGCAGGCTGACGGAATTATGATGGTCCTCAAGCTCCGTGCAAGGGCGGTGCCGCCGTCAGTGTTCCAGGTTTCCAGCTTTTTGAGGAGAAAGCCACAGGGGGCCACCGTCATCCCAGGAACATGGAACGAGGATGCACGATTATTGTCATCATTTCCCCGATCCGGTTGCCTTCTTCTCAATAATAATTGTGAAAATAATACTTACTATCATCTCTGCTCCATTTGCTTTCGAATTAATGCTGGTACGGCAACCCCGGTGGTTTCTGGAGACGGGCGGGCCCGGCTGGGGCAGCTCCAGCGAAGCGTCTTCCGTCGCCATCTCTCTAGTGGGTTCGAGGCATTCCAATCAAGACCCACCAGGGACCAGGGTCATTTCTCATTCCCCTAATCTCATTTCTCGTTGAATGGAATAAAGGTCCCGATAAATGATCCTCTCCCCACTGTGTAACCGTGTAATCGAGACATGGTATGGCGCTCTGGATTGACAGACAGAAAAGCACGCTTGCAGACTACCCCTGATACGAAACGCTGGCCATCAGCGCATCGTATCATGGTCGGCGACAAGTGAAAACTTACCAAAACTTGAACTCAGCGCCATCGTTATAACTTCTCTGTATAGTGTATCAAAAAGTGAGGAATCAAGTGAATGAAAAAAAAAAAAAAAGCAAAACAAAATCATCACTGGATATCTCCAGCAGATCATCCTGTTCCTCCATCGGAACCTCTGGAGCTCCAGATTTTCAAAAAGTTCACCACACCTCGGCTTTCACTAGTGGATTCAAGGGATTCTCATCGCTTTCTCAATTTCCCTCTCTTGTCTTCAGCTCTCCCTGGCGACCTCTTCGGATACAACCCGGTCGAAAAATATCGCACTAACCAGGTTCTAGGTCTGTATGCACGTAAGGATAGGTGTAAAGGAATACTGCTGCCATACAGATCCGTACACCCTTCATACACACAATTACCTAACATCACTCCACCAAATCCTCAGGTTCTACGATTGATTCATTTCATTTTCCATCCTCCGCTGTTTTCAGTGTGTTGTTCTATTTTCCTCCAGCGTCCAAACTTGACGACAGGAAAATCGCCATCACGACTGTCATCTTCCAAGTATCTTGCAACCTTGAATTAGACATTTCCGAGGAGCTGGGTCCTTGCCCTGCCTCTTAACTGTGGGCCAATCATTTCTTACTAACCATCTTCTATCATACCCAGCACCACGGTTGGTGGCATTCTAGGATAACCCTACTGCAATTTTCATCAAACTCTTGTTTTGGTGATTATTATCCCACTTGGCAATAATAATGGTTATCCCAACCTGTATACTCATCACATTCATGGTTTCTCCTTGATTTGAGAGGAAGGACTGTTACAAGTATTATCAGGTACACTTTACCTCCACCGCCATACTGAAGAGGCTCGAGACAGTATCAGGATACCATAAATTTAATTGGGTGGGCGCACTGACCGCTAAAGTGAAAAGGGTCCTTGCACCAATATCGATATATTGGACGCGTGATGCAACGTGGTTTGAAGTTGTGATTTCTCTCCTCTCCATACCCGATCCTATCTAAATGAACTGTTCCGGGGAATCTTTTACGGCTGCGCAATGTTTGACATGTGTTTCAACAGCAATGGCCCGAGCCGCCCGTCCAGATCCTGTCGGGTAATATCATGGATGAACCGGCTGAAGATAGCTAAAAACCAAAGAGAGAAGATCTTTCAAAATATGATCAGTCTTGTGCAATGGACAAATCCGGTCCACAGCCCCCTTCTTTCTCATTGGATGCATCCTGGATATTGTTTGAGAAGGCCAAGCCTGGGCAAGATCTGGAACCCCTGGCCACAAGCCTGCAAGATCCTCCGTCCCAAAGTTTCCGCTGAACGACATGATATACTGGATGGTATTTTGCTGGTAACGTCACTGAGCGCGGACATCAGGGTTTCAATCCGGACTGACTCTTCTCCAGGTCTGTGATCACACATCCTTCAAATCGACAGCAGCCTTGGCAAAAATCGACAGGGAGTAAAATTCTACTATCTAGTGATTGGTCGGACGGTCATGTACATCCTGAAAGTTTGTCTCGACATTTGGCAAATTTTTCGACGGTCAAGTCAACACAACGAAGCATAAATCATGTCTTCTTCTAGAAAGAGGGCAAAAGGGCGAAAATAAACTCCGACTTTTTTTTTAGAGGACGCGATCTCGGCAGTATCTTGACATAATTTGTTGAAGAGGTACATTGAGGTGTCCATGACCCTGTGGAATTAAATCAATCTAAAGGATCGGCGCTGAGAACCTCGGGGTATTGTCATAACTCACAAGAAGTACCAGTATCAGGAAGTAACACGAAGTAACACGAAGTAACACACGAAGTATGTTTCAGAAACCGAAATTGTCCTTTTATTTCCCTGGTATTAATTGTCCCTCTTCACAACCGCTAACTATTAGTACTGTTATGTTAAAGCACAATTGACGGAGGATGTTGTGTTGGGATGTAGCCAATAAATAATAGTGTGGAACCCCACACTAGCTTTGCAACCCATCTAACCGAACGCAGCACAATTCCAAGACCAATCTCTAGGGTCCTTGCAGGGAGCTCAAGGATGGAACCTCGTTCGGAACATACGTATTGAAGATCTTTACAGCAATAATCGTGCTGAACAAAGGAAACCCCCGTTACATTTTCAGCCGCTGCCTTTGGAAAAGTTGGCTCTCCCTTCCAGATTCCCCCCTCAACTCGTTGGGTCTGACCCCCACGCGAACATCTTCCATGGAATGAGTGTTTTCTCTATCACATATCAACAACACCATTGCATCCAGAAAAAGGGGCAGGGGGTGGCAGCAGGTTCAGGTCGTATTACACTGCCCCTCCTATGCAGGATCTAGATAACAATGACATCTTGACCGAAGACGTAAAAAATGCCTCCAAGTCTCCAGGATAAATTTGACTCCCGTCTTTCTTGAAATCATTTAGCGAAACAGCTACATTGAGCTGTCAACTCTCTCTCCACGGAAGAAACGCTCTGCTTGTAATATAGGAACCTTTGAGTGGTTAATTGGTAATTGCTTGATATGATGATTCCTCAATTTCCCCCCTATTACCCCTGTTATCCACAGATAAATGCCACTCAGGTTGATTGATATGACACTCTCTCCTGAATCCATCTTGAGATCATGCAAAATGGGAGACAGGCATTGCTGATTGTTATATCCAGATTAATAAACAGTTGCCTCTGATGAAGATGGCTTGTAAAGTTCATCCGAGGTAGTTGCGTGCCAGAGCCTTTAGGAATGAAGTAAATCATGTGTTCCATGTTAAAGTATAACAAATCCAACAGGATGGATCGATGATGTCGCAAGTTGTCCCTCATACCTGGGGTATACAGAGCCGAAGCCCTCATGATATCTTAAAGTCAAGGATAACTACCCCAGCGTCAACTCCAAGACGCACGTATATAAACCACCTGGACGGAGATTCCGATCGTCACTGCCACAAACATTCCTCTCTTCCGCGTCAACTGTTCCCCTATAGAATATCTATTGGGAGAAGAAGCTGAATCACTGCGCACCTCCCAAAGGGATAAGAAGTTGATCTATTGAGTTTGTCCTATCCCTGAGTCATAGCACCTTTGGTCGCCGAAAAATATACAAGTAGATGGACGATTTCGAATCCCACAACAAATAATTAACGGCCTGGTTGTTCTGGAACGCTTAGTTCTCTGCATCTAAAGTTGCACATTAAACCAACAGAGAGTCCCCGAGATCTCTCCGATGCCCGAGAAGCAACAAAGCAAAGCACAGCATATATGCCGTTTTTAACGGCGTCATACAGCATCGTCACCACGCACCTCACACACCGGACCGTGTGTTCCCATAGGCAAAAAATGGATGACTCATTTCCTTCATAAAAATCCCCGATTGGCCAACTACCTGGCATCATTGAAGAAGACAATGAACGGGAATAGGAGATCAAAGAAAGCCTCCAGCGCGACGACGTTTGGATGTCGTACGATGCGCATAAGAGTCTAACAGCCGGCGTAAAGGTACCTGTATCGTGAGCATTTAGGAATAAGCCTCCCTACCATCTCTATCCATAAACCCCCCCCCCCCCCCCCCCCCCCCCACCCCCCCCCCCCCCCCCCCCCCCCCCCCGCGCCGTAGGTAGAAGAAAACCGCGGAAAAATTCCAGATCACCATCGAAACCTTCTAGGCGAGTGACTTTGGCACGTCTTAAAAAGCTATTGGTAACTCGCAATCTTCCTAACTATCTGCAGCTGAGTTGGCACAATCCCAACTTACAAACATTGATCTGGCCGTGCAGTTACTATGGCTCCATCATTAATGCCAATACCGGAGAATCTGTATGCATGGCCGTGGCTCGAATTGCAACTCTCATCGTCAACATAGGTCTTGTGAAGGCCTATACCATTGGAGTTCGTACTAGAAAAGTAAAACCAGGCACTGACTTTCTACAAAGACGGGATTGGCGTGCTCACATTCGATTCTCCATTTACCTTCGATGTGGCAGAAACACTCGGATATTTGTGCTTACTCGACTTCCGTACGCTTGGTGGAAAGAACCAATACATGAGCAATAGGGAATCTTGGTTGAAATTGAAAAAAAAAAAAAAACCCGGGGTAAACTTGCGAACTATGCCATGGAGACGTGGCGACCTATATACCATTAACCCCAACATCCAAAAACCAAGTCACAGAAGAAATAGGGGCAGGGGAAGGAGTGTTGTCCGATGGAATACGCTGACCACCAGATTGTTTCTGCAATATCCATCCATATTATACGGTCTGAAGATCTGAAATGCTCGCTCTTTAAGGGTATCAATCAAGTCGCTCACCATGGTGCCATGTGGCAACTCTTTGTTAAAAACCGTACAAGTGAGTCCCCTTCGCGGGGGAAAATTACATTGGTTTCCTACGGCGGAGTTCAAGATAGCCTTTTTGCAATTGTCGGGGAAATCCGTTTGTGGATAAACATCCATTACTCGCCATACAGCATCGCTGCTGTTCCCAACCATTTTACAACCTAGAGATTTGCGAACGGTGGTACTTTGGGGCGCCGTCAAAGCCCTTTTTCACTGCACATGTTAGTATATGGAAACAAGAAAGGGAGAAAGTCTGGAGACGACTTAATGTAGAGAATACAGGAAAAAGTCTCACCAATACATATTTCGCATGAAATACCTCCTCTGCTCCATTTTTATCAGTCACTCTCACCTCGACAGGATACGCATCGGGATCGTTCGTGGCAGCACTATCGACCTCGACGACCCCTTGGGCCTGATAGTTGTAGATTCCCTTCCCAAGCGCCGTATACTTATCGATAAAAATCTCGTTCGTCCGCGCTTGATTCATGATAAAATCCTGTACGAAAATATCATATAGAGCAAGCCATACGGCACTGCACTGCACAGTCCTGCAGAACCGCTGACACAAATCAACCCATCAACTTTCCCTTTTGCCGTTTACGTTGTCAGTCGATAATTAATTGGATATATCCGTTGAAGACAAATCTGGAATGCCTTCGGCTTTGCCTTCTCGAACATGCTGAGGCAATGCAGAATATAGCTTCCGGTGTCTCCACCATCGCGGTCAAACTAGGCCACTCCAACGCATCGATGACCCGTCGGGTAACGTCCCTAAGATGAGGAGGGCAAGAGCAAGGCCATAGGAGAATCGGGCTCATGCTTAGTGATATGTCAATGGTGAATCGAAGATCTGCGGCATGTACTGTAGAGTTTAGCTCGGGTTTGTGTTTGCCGAACAAGCTGAGGTGTGTAGCCGAGATGGAAGTTAAATCTTGTCGTTAACTGTAGAGCGTTAACTAACCTCTGGATAAGAAGGTGTAATATCTTACATTCATGTGCAGTATCGCTTTGATCGACTGCCCCTAGGCTCAATATGAATACCCACCGGCCACAATGAAGCAGATTGCATCTGGCACAAGTTGTAGGATATATATATATATATTACTCAAGGGTAATGTTAATACCAAGCTGACGGAATTAGAACCCATTGTAAAATATATGTCGCTAATATCTTCATTATCGTACATGGTTTTAGCGGGAACTGTCTCGGAGAATGTCCAAGAAATTAATGCATAAATAGCAGAAAACATATAACTATGATGAAATGTTTATTTGCTCTAAATCCCCCCTCAAAGATCCCTCGGACCACGAATGCAGAGCACTTCCTGTATTTTTACTCGCCCTTAACAGCCATGTCATTAAATCATGAGATGGTACCGACACATAAATGCTACAGAGAGATATGTCCCCGAGGCGTCCATTCTCTCCACAGCTTGAAAATAACTGTCCCACATGTCCAGTATTATTCTGTGTTCAACTTTATACATCCCAAATGGGTCCCCAACCTCATCGTCAGATTTCTCGATAAACATGTGATTCATATGCCGTAAGTAAAACTTCCTGTGTTGCCATTTGTAGTATAATCGAAAGAGCCATGCAAAATTTTATCTCATAAGCCAGGAGAATAGCGCCCAAAGCCCATTCAGGCCTTCTAACCTGTCATTTGCATCAAGGAGATCGAGCCATCTGGTTCGGCGCAACTGGAGGGCGTACCATGGAGTTCCACAGCTGTCTCCTGTCTCGTCCTCGACGTTGACCTTACCAGTTGTCAACCATTCCAGGTATTTCGAGTGGACGCGGAGATGAAGAATTGAAAAGTGGTGGTTGATCGAGGATACCATGAATATCTAAGTATTCTTTAGTTCGAAAAGCTCACATTAAATCACTGATGTATAACGGCAGTATTGAAGAGAGTTTCCACAGGCTTACATCATCAAATGAAGAGACCCTGTCTGTCCCAATCTGTGTATACCTCATTTTCCTATCCCACATGCTTGGACCAGGTTGTAATATTTTCCATCTCTCGGCGACGCTCAATTTTTTTGAGCCGCTTGAACCATGTCGTCTAAATGGGAGTGAAGTTCTGTCACATTTGGATCTTTTATTTGCTAATCGATCTTCAGAATCCTGGGTTGCTTCTTTGGGCTTATCGATATTTGATTTATCGGCTTCAGGACCAGAGTTATCAGCTCCACCCCACCGTGGCGTTGTGGTCCACCATTTTCCATCACCAGGTCGTGTTTCTGTTGCACCATCCCTGGCCCTCTCTTGTGCAAACAGGAGCATTGCAGCAACCTCACGTAAAAGATCACATATCTCCCTACATCTGTCCCCCGCCGTGTTGTTCTTGTCGTGGAATGAGGTTTCACCTCTGCATTGCACGAATATCATAGGGCCCTCAAGTATGCCTTTTCTTGCAATTTGTCTGTCTTGAGGTGATCGAGCAACAACAAAATTTTGGCGGACTGGGAAAAGCATTCCTTTCAACTGGAGGCGAGGGGGTAGAGTGGGAATGCTGGCCTGGCATCCAAATGGCCATGCAATCATTTCCATAAAGCCACGCAGCGTCTCCTCGCGTACATCTTCTGGGCATTCATGACCTGTGCCAATTCTTCGACCAATATACGTCGATTTTGTGTTGGGGGTTTTGCACGGTTCATTACTTATTTCAGTGGGTTGGGCTCCGCATACAGTACGATTCCTACTTACTTGCCCAACATCAATGTGTCGTTTAGGAGCCGGTGAATCATCAACATGCATTTTACCCGAAGCTTCGTTTCCATCTTTGGAAGGGCCATCATCTGGGGGACGCTCAATATATTGATCTAGAGTCGTGTCCCAATACTGTGCTATCTGATCAAGACCAGCCCAGAACTTTCTGCTCTGAGTGAGCTTGATCTTCTCACGGCCAGGCCGAAAGGCTAGCCGAGAGACTGTTCGAAAGGCGTCATCGTTATCATAGAGGGTTTCTTCTTTTAGAAGGTCATATCTCTCCTTGGTTGGGAACGGACAACCGTTACTCATTAACACTGGAATTGGAATTTCGACTGTTTCTGACGCGTTCGTGGTTGGGGGTTGCTCCGTCCATTGATATGGTGGCAAAGTCTTTAGGACACCTGAGGGAACAATATCTGATATAGGGATATCGGATTCAGCAGTCAGATTGAGAGCTTCCAGGTGAGCGGGGGAAACATCCTGCGGTTTCCTTATTGCGGCCAGGAGCCGATGTAACTCGTTGCAGCTTTCCTCATTTAGCGGTTTTGGAGGTAAGTTGGGGGAGTAGTTGGGGAAATCAAGAGGCGTCGGGGGGAGTGGAGGAATTCTCTCCTCATCAGGGTTAAAGTTAGTGGTCGGTACAGCTGTTGAGTTGTTAGTTCTGTAGTGATAATAATAGCTAGATGCACCCAGGGGTGTAGAGCATGGTTCAGTATGAGGTATCTCTTCACCGGGGAAGCAGCAGCAGCAGTAGCAGCAGTCAATGAGGAATAATGATACTAGGAATAACAGGAGCCAAAGATTGAAAAGGATAGATGATTAGGGAACGCTTTGTGAATAGCAGGAAGTATAGAATTGCCAGCCCCTCCCACAAAATTGATAACTTCGTGGCGAGGACAGAACGGAGGCGAGGAAATTTTTTCTAAGAAGATTTGCTCTGGAGTATAAGGGTGGAACAGTGCATCAAATCTAAACAAACAGCAAAATTGGAATCGAGATATGCTTGTATCAAAAGACTTTTGTGGTTATTGGATTGCAAGGATGAAACGTGGATGCCACGGGTTAAACAGGAGGAAAAAGGAACAGAAGGGACAGGAGACTGGTCTTTCTCACATAGGCTGCCTCCCCAAGAAAACATGATGATACTGTATCGATATTGATGAAGACCTTGGCTGGTGGACCAGGCGATGGGAGGACGATTGACTTGAAAACAAGATTTACATGCTCTTCTTAGCAGCAAAAGGATTCAGATGGTGTAGGAGACGTATTCGTCTAGCAGCCAAAGCCCTCAAGGGACGATGATGCGGAGAACGAATTCGGGGGTTGAAAGCGAGAAACGGGTACGCTTGGTGATGGCGGAAATATAGGGTTTGAGTCCGTTTTCGGAACAGAAGAGGGAGTTCTTGAGACCAAGGACAGTCCTTTTTTGCTGGGACATGAATATTGGATATTCACCACAATATTGCACACTGGCTTTACTCGCGGTTTTCTTACCGGTGCGGCGATATCTCCCTGTAGGTGTCGGCTGTGGGTGCGCTGGCAAGAATGGCTGCCGTTGGATTGATTGCATCTGCAGCTACGGGGGGAAGCACTGCAGGATGAGGGCAAATCCGACCAGTCATTAGCAGTCAAGGACTCAAGGGAGAAAACTGGAGTAGCTAGAGCAGAATATCACCACGGAAGTGCGGGTAAGAAGCCTGTTTGGCTAGTCTGCATCCGTAGCGGCAGAAAGGACCTATCATGCTGTATGTTAAATTAACAGGAGAATCACTAGCTCATAAAAAGCAAATGGTTTGTATCCAATCATCAGCCACTGCTGGGGGGTTCAGGTAATCCTAGAACTTGGACTTAAGCCCAAGGTTCATGGGAAAGCAGCCTACTCCACACAAAGAAATACACTTGGATTTCAAACAGCGGAACAAGGTCTAAAGAATTGTAAACCTTAGTTCAGACCGTGCAGACGCCTGAATAATTGCGAAAGTGTGTTCAATAGTTAACAAAATCTAAGTGACTAATTGGAAACCTGGAACTTCGGAATTTGTTCTCTTTCACTTTCTGCGGTGCGGGTAATCGGACTCGGAGAGGGGCGAAATGAGCGGCTATTTTTTCAGATATTTCCGTGCCGTATTTACCATCGCCTTCTGCAAGGAGATGACTGCTTGAGCTAGCGGTCGACGACTGCACATACACGAGATGCACACATCCCATCCATGAATGGATTCGACCATTTATATCCAGGGCGCCAGTCCAATTTCCGCGTTAGGAGGGATAGAAGTCCCTTTTCACTAGAGTTCAGAATCACAACTCACCTGAAATAAATACTGGATAGACACATTGCTGAACGCATCACTGCCCCTGTAGCCTCGATTGTGAGAGCAAACATAGGTCTTTGAAAACCGTACAGGTGTACTCCTTTATGGCATCTTGATGCTAACTCTCCCATCCTTCACTGATCTTCCTGGGCTGAAAAAGACCGTTGGGCTTGCTCTCAAAAGTTGCTAAACCCCTTAAATATCCTATTCCGAACTTGTCACATTCAGATTCCCATGCATCAAAACCAAACCTGCGCTGCTCACTCTCTCCTCCCGTTTTTGGATAAAGGTCGCGTTCATAAAGCATGGGCCATGGGTGATATTCCTCGCTTTGGACTCAAAATCAGGCGTCTACAAACTTAATATGCAGCTAATGGGCTGCGTGCAAAATCCAAAGAGCTACGGTCCAGTTCAATTGCTTGCATACTTTGGACTGCTTTTCCATGGAATTTTTCCAGGTCACATCAATAGTTTGTCCAGGTTTGTCCGGAAGGACCTTCAAGGGAAAGGGACCCAGTCGGTGTCAACACCACTGAGTTCCTGAACTACCCTTGTGGCAAGGCTTTTGGGTTTTGCGGGATAATCCATGGATGGTTAATCATGCATGGGGTGGCTTGACGACCTTCATCGACCTTTTCAAGCTGGTTGGCTCATCCTGCGATTAGCTTTGCAGCAAAGCCGTGATCGTATCCCAAGTCGGAACCAAGCCTTTGAAAGCAATCTGAACCGCAATTGAACCTGCAACAAATAAAGGTGGGGTAGTTGTGTGGTAGCAGGGCCAAATGCTCTACAACTCAAATCATCCCTTTTTTTTTTATTTTCGCCTCACGGAGTTGGCGCTATGCCGTTTCGAGCTCTCCGTCCCAAACAGGAAACAGCCTAAATGGACGTCAGACTCTCATATGAAACTTCGACTTTTAAGCCCGGTTTCATCTTCATCTTCCTCTTCTTCTTCTTCATCTTCTTCTTCATCCTCTTCATCTTCTTCATCTTCTTCATCTTCTTCTTCCTCTTCAGCTGGGACTTCGAACTTCACCATCTATTATACCTTCACTCCAGCTGTTGTTCATTTGCTTGCTTTGTATTCTTCCGTTGTCTCCTGGAATTCCAAAAATTCCTCGGTCTCCGGAATCTTGTGTCCCCTTTTCTGGCAATGCTCAACCCAAATCAGCTTGTCAATTGTGACAAATTCCAGACTTGCTCAAAGCGGTTACAGGATCTCCAGGTTCTCTTGTCTCATTGCCTAATCAAGACCGATGCTGTCTCATCTAATCGCTACCCGTTTCCACTGTAGAAGAAGCCTTAGGCCCTGAACCCGTTCTTCTTTCCGCGTTGTGCCCCTCGAATCTTTCATGGGTCACTACCGTGTTCTCTTCATCTCCAGTATGTGTAAACACGTAGGGCTACCCAGTATGTGCCAGTATATATGAGAATACATATTGCCCTGGATGCGCAAGACTCGAGAGCCCTATAAAAAGACATTTGCCATGCACAGGCTCCAACTCTTGCAATATCGCCTCCACTGCTATGTTAAGGCTTTAGACCATCATGGTTTTCCTTGCGATAGCTTTTGCCGGCCAAAATTCTGAACTTGATGTGGTATACATTCTAGCTTTGGCACTGGTATAATCACAATCAATCCCAATTTTGCTTAAAGGACAGCAGAGTATCCTGTCATACGGGCGAGGTACTTGACCAGGTTGATCTGGGCATCAGAGTCACTATTTCTATGCTGGGATCACCTCTCTTATGGACAAAGCTCAAATTACCCCACAAGAGTGCCAGCTCCTGTTCTGTTGCTAGTTCGTCGAGGATGTTGTGTTTTGCAGCAGCGCACTAGGGGATGTGGCATACGGTTATTGTTCCAGCATTGCTGGACCACTCTCATTCTGAAACCATGACCTTCCTCTATCATCTGCGTTGATCATTATTGGTCGATGAATTTGAAAGATATTCTCTTTATCCTGATATATTCCAAATGGGTGGGACAGAGAATCAAGGTTCTTCCCACATTTGTTCCAAATTTCTCATCATTCACACCATCGAGCTCTTCCAGTTTTCCTCCTCTTCAGAGGCCTGTTAAGTCACCTTATTTGACATGTTCACCATGCTCTTCGTTAGCTTCTTCTATTTTATTCCCATCTTACTCTCTGATGGCTTTCCTACCCGGTATCTGCACCAAGAAATCACGGTGAAAGACTGTAGATATTTCCTTACCATTGGAACCTCTCCATGAATTCCTCATTACCCTCATTGGCTCTTGCAATCAAACTTTTTTTCTTCTCTCGATTCCCTAAGATTGTGGACGGTTCCAATAAAGTTTACACCGCACTGGTATTAATGTCATTGCTCCGTATTATCATTTTCGACCGGAACTTGACACCCCACAACCACAATGTCAGAATCGGTTACAACCTTCAATGGGACACGATGTACCAAAGTCAGAAGAACTCATCATTCCAATCTCAGCTCTCTACGCGTAACTAAATCTTCATTGCCTTCTCAAACCGCCTTCAAACATCACGGTGCTTCCGCTGCGGCACCGTCATTCCATACCAGCTCTCCAGGAAATCCGTTACCGAGTATATCATTCTCTTCTAATCAAGTGAATTTGAGTTCCGCTTCCATGTCTTCTTCACACTTTAATTTCACCCGAATCAGTAGTAGTTCGTCCCTCTCCATGGAAGCCTCAACATTGGCATCGAGGACATCGATGGCGACAGGAGCAGATATGTCTGCTCATAATTATCAAGATCCATCCAACGATGAAATCGTTCCTTTAAAACGAGGTGCGATTATTGGAGGAACTGTTGGTGTAGTCGTTATTTTCTTGATAGCCCTGGTGCCTTTTCACATTCTTCGACGACGCAGACGGAGGCGACGTCATATGAAACTGCCTGTCCTACTGAACCTTGAAAAGAGAAGCCCACTTGATGAACATACCTACCGCTCCTCCCGCCATCTTGAGCGAGAATCGGGATATTCAACCAGAAGCATGAGTGTCTACTCAGAAACCGGTGACTTAAATCGCGGAGAACCGTTGTCACCCAAGTTGAGGAGGCCACATACTCGTAGCTTATCTAACTTTTTGGGACATGAAAATGAATCAACTGATCCGATCCTCATGCAGTTGGAATGGATGGCAAGCCAAGATGTCAGGCGCATGGGTGGGGAAGATACTCGTGGACATTCAAGGCAACCTCAGAAGAATAAGAAGGATAAATGGAACCTTTTCCCTCCCTCAACAACCCGGGAGGTGGTAACTCGAAATCCCTTCAACGGGAGGCCAATGGATGTTCCAAATCCGTTTCTGGATCCACCACCCGTTTGGGAACCTGGAAATACGTTGCAACGTCCTGCAACTCCTCTCTACGGCTTTGCCCAAGATTCATCGAGAAACTCCAGAGGGTCCACGAGCTTTCCACCGATGCCCGACGTGAACAGAAGAATCGAAAACTCTATACCGAATCCATCTAGATTTGTGCCCTTAAATTTCGAATTTGGGATGCAAGCAGCTCAGGGAGCCCACGGACTTGTTCCATTGCCCTTGCGCTCTGTGGCTGAACCCGTCCCCAATCCCTCTACCATTCGACGAAACGACTCGATGTCGTCTCAAGCACACACCAACTCTACCAGCAGCGGCAGTGTCATCATACTTCCTGGAAGAACCAGCACATCGTTGTCTGCCGTTCTTGTGATGACGGCATCCGACATTTCCTGGTGGCGAAGGAACCGTTCTGCCAATGAACTTGGATTTCCTAGTCGAAGGAGTTATCTATTTGACTTTGAAAGGCGTCATTCCGGGCTTACAGATGACAATTCCACGTTTGGAGATACGGAGACGTCGTCATTCTCAGAAGGTGTTGCGGAAGCTGTTGCCATTGCTCCCTCGCGTTCCTGATTGATTTTTTCATAAGACCTACGTCGAACAACCCCAACAATATTTGTGTTTGTAAATGTGATGAAAAACGGAATCCCTTTATTTATTATCTACTTTTATGGCAGGGTAGTTTTCTCCAATACCTCATTCTCTTCCTGGGATTCTGACCCCTACCTTATTAACAAGCCGCTCCTTTTGGGCTCTATTTGTATTCCCCCTTCTTCTGGCTTCAATGATGCGCTGGGTGATTCTGTCTCTCCAGCGTGCTTGTAGTTTGTCTTTTTTTCCCATTTTACTAATTTCCCCCCTGTTTACATGGGTTTCTGGAATCTCACGGTTTTATGATTGAATGTCTTTACCCACGTCTCTTTTTCGTACAGTTGAGCTTATGGATTCTTTGTTTCGGTCTCTCTACACCATCTCTCATCGACGGACTGGAGGTCGATGTGATATAATCGCGTCCTTCTTGTATGTATGTACAATGCTAATGTTGTGCTTAACTTGATTAATGGATAGCTGCTGGATACTACGCGCAGGGGCGCTAGCAGTGGCATAAATATGCAACAAATGTTCCTTGCAATCAGATTAACTAATTCAATGATCTCCAAAGTCGTCCTCACCCTATATCGTTGTCTCCTATACGGGCGATTATTAAAGGTTTCAACCCAATTCAATTTCAAAACAAAATAGGGGGAAAAACAAGAAAAGAAAAAAAAAAAACAACATCTTACTCCAGTCACTAAATCTAAATTGCTATACCGGAGTCTTGATCGGGCTTTATTGTAGTTTGGATCACCGACATTTCATTGGGCAGTGACTCAACGAAGTATCCACCTAGTGACTTGACTGTCTGCTTGATCTGTTTTGCTTAAAGGGAGATGATATCGGTTAGATATCTCTACTTCTACGAAATGGGATTTGATGATATTCCCAGCATGAGATGTTATCAGCGTTAATTCGAAGAGGTGAGTGATTATGGGGCCAGTTTCGAGGGGTAATTGAGCATGAGACAAAAGGTTAAAAGTTTTTTAAAAAAAAAACAATCAAGTAACATGTTGATTAATTAATAAAATGAAATGAATCTATATGTTGACCCAAAGCTCTTCTGATTTACTATAGGGAGATAGGTAACAACAGCAATGCATGCATGAATAAGATTTGGGAGGCCGGAGATGGTTTTCTTATGGTTTAAAAAAAAAAAAAAATTTTTTTAAGGTAATTTATATTTCTTTTCTGTTCGTTTCAATCGTACTTGGAAGATTATAATGGCTTTTGTCTTCTATCCGTCATGAGGTCAACCACCCCACCCGCCTTTATATCCCATCAATTGACTCCCAATTTGGTGGGATTAAGAGGATTTTTCTTTTTCTGCTTTCCATCAATGCAAGTAGGACAACAGCAGTTCAGAAAGACAAAACACGAAAACAACCTTGAAAAATGAGGATTGTCAATGAGATTTTGCCTTCTAGTATTGCACAAAAATATGAAAAAACAAAACCCATGGTCATCTCTCACACAATCAGGGAAAATAAACACCTCCCGAGTGGGCCCCATGAAAAAGGAATTACAAAATAGGCATTTACACCTACTCCTCCTCGACCTCCGCCAGGTGGGCGTTTCTCTTGGCAAGTATACGTTCTTGTCGTCGTTCCCGGGCAGCCTTGACCTTGGCACGTTTGGCATCCATCTCCTCCTTGATAGTACGCTCACGTTGCTTCTCAGCCTTGGCTTTGTGAATCTGATTTGGTAAGGTCAGGTTAGTTTAGATCTCAGCGTCAATCATAGTAGGCCGAACAACTAATTCAACAAATTATCGTAGTCCTGTCCTCTAATCCGGGAGAGGGGGAGGGATGTGGGGTATTTGATGGGGGAATTTGTGTATTGGGGACGGGAAATGCCTACATGCTCAACCAGCGCACGCTTGTGCTTGAAAGTGTTACCCTTAGTCAAGTGGTACAGCTCGTGGTAAAGGTGCTTGTCAATTTTCCCAGAGGCACGATACTTGGCGAGAAGACGGCGAAGAATTCGGAGACGACGCATCCACAGGACCTGGCTGTAAAGTTGAAAAGAAAACGAGTCAGAGATCTGAGCAATTCCAAGCAGTCCTCCTGCCTATATTCGAAATATTCACGCAATTCACATATCAAGTCCATTTGGCCATCACAGGCCTCTCGAAATATAGAGCTTCATTCCAATACCAGTGTCCATGAAAGGGGTAACGTACCTTGGCATTCTGGCGTCTTTGGTACCCTTTCTCTTACCGAAACCCCGATGTCGTCCGATTTTTCTAGCTTCTGCGAGCTCCCGGGCTCTGGAACGCGAGTGCATGGTGACGGGCTTGTGGATGATGAGGCCATCGCTCAACAGCTTGCGGATGGTCTGGCGCGAGTTGGCGGTGGAGATTTCGTTGACTTCATTGGGGTCAAGCCAAATCTTGCGTTGGCCGCAGCCGACCACCGAGGCCGCCAGGCGCTTCTGGGTGCGAAGGTTGACCCTGTTATTTCCAAAACGGCGTTTCTGTCAGCCAGGAATTCTCTTCACAAGTACTCATTGTGTATGTAAATATTTGTGTATGCGCGCGATCCGGGAGGGTGGAAGCGAAGACAACTAGGAAGATTCTCGTCGCTATCCGGCACAAACAGGCTCCACAAGACGGACGCAAAAGAGGGCCTGGAAAACGAGAGGGGTCACAGGGCTACCACTGGCGATGCAGGGGAAACTTACATCTTGATGCCGTGTACTGTAGATGGTCGGTCGTTGAATGGATGGATGTTCGAATTCCCACAATCAGCCTTTGGAATATTGACAAGGTCAAGTTTGGGGTTCGTGGAAGAAGGAGGATTAGTAAGCAGCCGGGAGGCTAAGCGAGAACAAACCCACAAACTTAGGGCTTGACTGCGCTTGACCCGATTGGTACAGCCAGCGCTATACCTGAGAAAGCCAGCCACGTGACCTTGAGAAAATGCGCGGGATGGGATGGATACAACTATTGAAAATACCCCGTCTACGTGGTGGAAGAAAGGCCCGTGCAAATCCATTGTATTACATCTTGGCTCTAGGTATGACTTGGTTCTCTCCTTGGTGAAGGGTTATATTTGACATACAAAAAGCTCCGCCCAACTGGATATTATATCACGTGATGAGATTCGGGGAGGTCCAAGGATGATCATCAAGCAGATTTTGATTTCTATATACAAGCATACATGAGAACCGAAAAAAAAAGGGAGGAGGGGGGGGGGGGGAAGGGTCTCTAAGATTCGTATTAACAAAAAATATAAATTAGTCGACATCATTGCCACATAATTCGCACTAGTCGTCACCTATCGGCTCGTCTAGGTCGATTTTCCCCACGCTCCAAACCTCCTTTTCGTCTTCAAGTTCGTCGCTTGACAGACCGAGCCCCCCTTGTCCACCTTCGGCTTCTCGTCTTTCTCGTGCTTGATTGGCTAGCCGTAAGGCAACGCGCTTGAAGTAATCTTGCATGCTCCGTTTCGTGGCAGAAGGTAACTCCGCCCCTGGACCATTAATGTACTTTTCAAAGACTGTGGCTTCGGAATCCACCACTGAAAACAGCGACAGAAACGCTGCCTCTGCTGCTAGTTTGACTGGGATGACAACGTCGCGCACACTGGCAAAGACGGGCGGTACGAGAATTGGAAGATGAGGACGGACAAGTTCAGGATGCAGACGGCTGATGGTTCGAACTACAACCAATGCTAGCCGTCGAGTATCTGTGGGCCCACCAGGCTTGATTGCTGGTGAGAGAGCTTCAATCAATGGCTTGTCTATCTCGAAGTTGCGGGTTATGTCTTCTGACAACAGGTATTTGCCTGCTGCAAGCACGCTGTTGTCCGATATAAATGGCTACCTAATATTAGCTTCCAGATCTCTGACAGGGGGAGGTTGGTGTTATATTTCTTACATCTTTGTTCGAAATGCCATTGCATATAATGGACGGCGTCTCGGAAGGAAATTTTGCCGCGAGAAATTCTGCAGATTCTAACAAGACTGCATTAAGGCTGAGAATCGAGGAATGGGTCAAGAGAGGAGTGAGAACTCGGTTCCTATAAATAGATAGTCAGCTTCATAAGGCTCAGGGATTTAATTCGATATTTCTTCAGTGGGTAACTATACTTTATCAGCGGAGCGGCAGTGTCCGGAAGAGTTTTGACAAGACCACCAAGGAGTCGAGCAATTGTAATATCCATTGCATCTACCGTACGTTAGTATTTAAAATACGGCTGGAACCCGGAAGCGCATTGACATACCATCACGCCCAGTACCATCATCATCAATAAGGTTGAGGATGGCTTGTCTAGATGTATCGCTCATATTTTTACCAGCTTTGCTTACAACTTCATAGAGTGCTTGAAGCATGGCATTCCTGACACCTGTATCGGAGGTTTTGGATCCGGTGACGAGTTCTGGCGGACAATGTTAACGACTTTGTCACTTGTAACTAGTGAGTACATTACTTACCTGCTACGAGAGGATCAATTCTTGGTGTTAATGTGATCAATATGCCTAAGCCCTTAGCTGATCTCTTTCGCAATACATCACTTGAAGTGTCTGCCAGCCCTCTGGCAAATGTTCTTTGTAGTTGCGGCAGGAAAGGTTTCACAAATAGGGGTATCTTTTCCAAAAGCCTGTTAAGAGCCAAGAAAACGGCACCTAGAGATATATCGTTAGCATAGGGACCACTAGCTCATCGAGTTTTTGTCCCGATAACCTACATTTGATGTCTACGGATCGTTCCGAGACAACTCTGATCAATGGGCCGGTGATTTGGGTAACATATGGTCGTAATGCCTCCGGGATTGTCCGATCGATGATATCAGCAATTGCAAGAGCAGATTGTACACGTTGATCGACGGTTCCATTGAGGAGCCCTTGAAGGAATATCGGGAATATCGATGCAATTCCTTTTGGCAGGGAAAATCCTGGAAGGTTTGAACCTGGGACACCAACTTGCCGTAGAACTTGACGTGTTGGAATGACCAAAACTTCCATTTCCTCCTTTC